AAAAACCCGCTAGGCCCGCGAAGCCCACGAGCCCGGCCCGTTAAGCACAGGACCATGTGGGCTTAGGCCCGTCACGGGCCGGTTCCACCCATTAGGCCCACGAAGACCGGGACCGCCAGGCCCGGGACCGCCAGAGCCCGGGACCACGAAGCCCGGGACCGCGAGGCCCGGCCCGTTAGGCCCACTAAGGCCCGGGCCCGGGACAAAATACAGCCCTAGCAAAAGGTCTACTCAATGCTCTAATGCTATAGACGCTCTTTCCTTCTCACTTTTCGGTTAAACACATCTTTATACATACAGCATTGTCATTAGTTCTTAAGTATAGGTGCAAGATAATCCTTTCTTCCATATCTTGGGGCTTATTACAGCAAGTATTAAGATTTTCAGTTATACTAGCACCGGAATTTATGCAGCCTTAGATTCTCCGGCGTTTTTGGTAACCCCAAAGATTGTTATTCAACAGTTACTTCAAACATACATGCGCTTTGCCAGCTACTTTATCATAACTCTCTTAGAGAGTTTCAAACTTAAAAATGCAACAGTTTTGTTAAATGCAGCATTTCAGGTCCAGGCTTCAATCTCTGGAGCTACTACTATAGGACTTCTTACTGTGTGATGGCCATTCTCTTCCTCCCAAGTGATTGAACCAGATTGTGCTTGATCTTCAGCAATGCCCTTGTAATGTATGGTTAGAGTGTAGTCCTGCTTCTGATTTTTCTTCTCAAACACCAAGGTCTGTGAAAAGATAGACATTGTCGAGTTTTTCGGTGCTTTCACTTTTACTTTATACGTAGCTGCACCAACTCCAACATTTGTGACTGTCCTCTTGAATTTCTGCTCCAACCAAGTGTAGTTCCCATAAGGGCTAAAGAGAGCAATAAATGAAGGGTAATTGATATGATTGGATGGATTTGAGCACTTGTGCTGAGCTGATGAGCTAGCAATTGTTTTGAATTGCTCTACTTTCAAATTCATAGAGCAGAGAAGGTTCACATAGTCTTGTGGAGTGGCATCATATATTAGGCCTGGATCAACTGCACGGTTTGGATCAACGACTCCTGCTCCCATGGCTAATGATGTAGCATCCTTGTTATCATCCGCTGTTTTGATGGGTTTTTCAGTATTATCCAAAGGATTGGCAGTGGTCATCATGGCAGAGCGAATAGCTGAAGGACTCCATTCAGGATGTACTCCTTTTAGCATCGCAGCAATTCCAGCAACGTGAGGAGTAGCCATGGAAGTTCCTGATAGAAGACGGTAATCACTATACAAATTTGTATTGACACCAACAGTTGCAGCTGAAACGTTCGATGGCCATTCTGCTAAAATTAACACTCCTGGTGCCATAATATCTGGCTTTGCAACTCGCAGGTAGCTTCTAGAGGGGCCTCTCGAGGAAAATGCAGAAACGACTGGAGCAGGCTTTACATCAATATGTGTTTCCTGGAAACTGATGCTGGCTTTAGGTTTAACACTTTTGATTGCATAATCTGTTACTTGTTTCCATTCCTTGCTGCTAATGACAACTCCAGGAATCAGAAAATAGTTGGACGTCATAAACATAGATTGCGGCTCCAAATCCTGACTCTGAGATGGCCTCTATTTGATCAGAGACTGGTAAGTCTTCTTGTGCAGTGCTATAACAAATCATGATGCTACGTTTAGCATTAGGGACTTGATATAATAAGTTAGATGAATCACAAGTAGATAAACTTCCATTGTTAACCAAATGAAAATCCTTGATCATGGTTCTCACTGGAAACAAGCTAAATCCAGTAATCTTTAAGCCATTCCCAAGAGTTAAAGTCCCTGAAAATGATCGGTCAGTACTGCATGATGCCACGGTAAAGATCCAAGGGACTCCATTGGTTAAAGTTCCCATTTCAGGGCCATCATTTCCAGCTGAAGCAGTGACTAAGACACCCTTATCATAGCACCGAAAGAAGCTATTGCAATAGAATATTTATACAAGGGAATATTAGACCATCCATACGAAATGGTCAGTATGTCAATACCATCTGCAACAGCTTGGTCCATAGCAGCAATTGAATCAAAAGTAAAGGTTCCTTCGTCAAAGCTAAACTTATACACAGCTATCCTAGCTCGTGGCGCGATACCTCTTGCTGTTCCAGGAGCATATCCAAAATATGAGGCTCCTTCAGCAAAACTACCAGCAGCAATGGAAGCAACATGAGTGCCATGACCATCAGTGTCTCTGGCTGAATTCATTGAAATATTCACACTAGGATCATTAGCCAAAATCCCCTTATTGAAATAATTAGCTCCAATGAGTTTCCTGTTGCACAATGAGGTTCCTGGCTTGCAAACTCCCTTCCACTTTTTGGGAATTTCGGACAATCCATCATCCCTGAAACTGGCAGATTCTGGCCAGATTGGTGATTCAAGTACACCAATGATAACATCTTAACCAAAACCAGATTCTGGCCATAGACCAGAAGCAGGATTGAGCTTAAGAAACTCAGAAGTACGAGTAGTGTGAGCTTCAACAGTCCTGTCTTTATAAGCTGAAAGAAAACCTGGTGATTTCTTGAGAGCTTCAAGTTCATCTTTAGACAAAACAGCACTGAAGCCATGAATTACATTGTCATAAGAATAAAGAAGCTTTGGAGTGACCATTTGGAGTAGTGGGAACATCAATCTTGATGTAATCAATAATGGAGGAACGCCAGTTTTGGTGACTAGCAAAGATCTTAGGCATAAAAGACTTGTCCAAATGGACAATGTAAGTAGACCTCTAGGCTGAGGTTCCTAGAAACAAAGACAGACTAAAAAAGAAACCAAGAAAATGGGAGAAGAGGTACTAATGTATCCATTGTTCTATATTTCTACTTGTGGTTTCCTACTATATACAGAGCCTCCTTTAAATACACATGTTAAGAAACAACCATGTTTGGCTGGTTTTGTAAAAGTAGATAATGCAATTTGATTATTTGAGAAATTGGTAAGCATGTACTTCTTGCTATAATGCATGTACTTCTTGCTATAATGCATGTACTTCTTGCTATATATCAAGGTTGTAAACGCTAAACACATCTTGTATTTGGCGATTATTATTAGAGATACTCAGCAATCAAGGAGCACTGTGGATTTCTAGCAAGTGGCACGTTAGACCCAAGTTACTATCGAGAAAATGACCCTACCATGTTGTGAATGATTGGTAAATATTCCATATTGAAATGATTTTGTAGTCAATCAATCATATTGGAAGGGTCATATTTTTCTAATTTATGCATGCCCACTCAGTCATTCCACCCCTCTCCCACCTCTCTATATATGGAAAAGGGCCAAACTGTCCCTGAATTAGCGGTCAAGGCTAAATATACTTTCCGTCCATTTATCGATTTAAAAATTCTCCCAATGTTATCTTTGCGGCTTTTTCACCTAACGGTCGACTTGAATTAAAAAAAAAAAGTTTTATTTAAATTTCACGTGTCATTTTATTACTGGTCCAATTCAATTAAATAAGTATTTTTTTTTTTTTGCTAATTTATAAGAATCACAAAGAAAGAAAATATTTTTTGATAAAATTTTGTTTGTAATCTTTTACCAACAACATAATAATACATTGTGCATATATAAATAGATCTATACACATACAGAAAAATTATAGAATTACAATATGTTAAAAACGAAAGCAACTAAACATCATAAATGAAAGCAGGCTAAGTATCATGATTCTTTCATCGGTCTTCTAATTTGAAATAAAACCAGGTTTTGTTCAATTTTCATAAAAGAATAAAGCAGTGAGAACTGGCATTCTAGGAAAAATATTGGCCACAAATTGAAATTATCCATAAGAAATTAATGTTGACCATTAGGAGCAATGAATATGCGTAATTTGATTTTTTGGTTTGCGAAGGATCGGATGTCCAATAATTAATGGTTCGTCGATGACCAATATTACCATATCAATTTCGGCTAATTTGACCATTTGGATGTTCACGAAAAAGTATTAGGTCTTAATATTAAAAGGAATAAAAAGAGGGAGGAAGTAAAATAAAAATGGTCAGGAAAATAACTTTCCTGGAGAGATTTTATGTTTTCAAGGCGGGTTAGTGTTTGGGTCAAATAAGTTAGAAAACTGGGTATTTTATGGGGGATTTTTGAACCGATAGATGGACGAAAGATATATTTAGCCCTGACCAATAGCTCAAAGACAATTTTGGCACCTTTTCATTTATTTAGTTGAATTAGACCAGTAATAAAATGACACGTATAATTTAAATAAAACCTTTTTTAATTCAAGTTGATCGTTAGGCATAAGGGTAAAAATGAGTCGAAAATATAACGTTGGGGACATTTTTGGCCCTTTTCCGCTCTATATATTAGGCGCATAGCTAGAGGGACTCCGAACCCTTCTCGTCAAAAAAACATGCCGTATATATAAATTTCGTTTTTTCCCTAAATTCCTTTCGTGAATATCTGGCCTCCTTAGCTATCTGACACTCGACTAAGCGCTCATTAGATTTAGTTCATGTAGAAACAAGACCTCGTTCATAAAATGAACCATTTACTTGTACTTTTTTCCAATTCACTATACCATTTCTTGCATATGTAAAAACTAGGAGTTGATTGTTCACACCATATTATGTCGACAAGAATCTATGGAAGTTTCTTTGACCAGATTACTTATATTTTCTACTAGGATGAAGAGAAAGTAGTGTAACTCGTTGATTGAATGAATTCTGCTCTTTTCTAGGAGGCCTTTCTCTATTGTTACTTTTGATTAAAATGCTGATAATTTTGTAACCCTTGAGTGAATATCAGACTTGGGTAAGATTGAATCATAAAAGGGTGCTATTACTTTGTATTTTGTTATACTTTGAATGTTCTTTCTATGATACAATTGCTTCACTGTACTGTTTGCTGAACTAAGATGCTCGTGTAAAGAGATACCACAGTAGCTGCCTAGGACATTAGAGGTTAATTTCTAATGTGTGGGGGTGGGGTGGGGGT